AATTCGTAGAGTTCTATGAGAAGAAAATAAACCATTTTTGTCTTTTACAGATTTTCTGTAAAGTTGATAGTATTTAAATAAAAAAATGATTGAAGACCAATTTTCGACAATTTTTAGCAATTAATATCTTGTATTGAGAAAATTACAAAATGGTAGAGGACTTTTCTTCTCAGTTTAGTCCATTCTGCCCTTGTGCGAAAGACTAATTTCCAAACACCCTGTATACGCCGCACCTAACAAAAACTTAATTTATTAAGTGTTATTTACAATGATTAAGATAAATGAACTATAACCAGTAAAAACTTTGTATTGTTTACTACCATGAAAAAAAATATTAGAAATCCAAAATATTTATTTTTTGTATTAAAAAAAAAAATACTTTTTCAAACGCTTGCATTTTTATTGTATATCGCATAAGGGTAGGATACGGTTATAGGTGAGGCACGGTTCGTGAAAAAATTACAAATAATGCTCAGAAATAAGACGTAAAATAATACAATAACTTATAAAATATGTTTACAAAGCTTTATTAAGAAATAAGAATGATAAATATGTATGTGGAGTAATAGATAATAAAATTACAATCTTTTGCATATATCACAAGTGTTATGAGATACATATTTCATGTAATGCATTCATTGCATTTAGTGCACTAAATCCAATCTGCGCACTTTGTATGCCTTGGGCATAAATCTCGCCCACTACAAATGCCATATATCTCAAGCAGATGGAATACGAGTATATTGTACAAGCAAAGAACATAAGAGCTAAGCACTTGTATTTTGCTATGCTCCATCCTTTACTATCCCTTTACACTTATATCATTAAATAACTATTAAGCCTTTTGCAATCTCTACAATAATCATTTTATGTGGATTATGATATACGATTGCACTATTCAATTACATTGACAAATCGATTCAACTGACAGTAATTTTACTAATATTAACAGTAGGAAACTGAAATCATTAACACAATATTAATATAGTATAAAAGTAACAGAGTGCAAAGGTTATGTGCAAATCATCACACTCCTATTTTTTCTGACTTTTGCGAATCCTCGCGCGGCGTAAATACTGGAGTTACCTCTAATTAAAATCTATCTCAAAATTAACAAAAGATATAAAGAATCAAAAAATTAATAGAAAAACTATTATTACAATAATAAAGGGCTCTAAATAATGGTAATTACAATGAAATAAGTTTACAGGGTCTTATTAAAGAGTCAACCGCAGAACTTGTTACGTAAAATTATTTTATATATCTAAACAATAATTACATAAGTTTGATATTCAAAAAGAATAAGTTTGAATACCCTATTGGCTCTTTAATAGCCTGTAAACTTATTTCATTGTAATAGAAAAAAATAATAAAAAACAACAGTAGCTAATGTAGAAAAACGAGGCATGGAATTTTTAAGGCATGTGTGAAGTTAAACTGACCACACATGATGCATAATTTCTTGCATGATAAACTTACATGCTGCTGTGCCTGCTCTAACGCATGCTAAACATCTCCATGCATTTAATTAATTTCTCAAAAAAAAATCTTTTTTATAGTTTGAAATTTTTTTTTATGTATCATGGGAACTCTATATATTCACAAAATAAAGCTATTAAGCCGTTCAAAACTATTCGATCATGAATTTCGTAAAAAGTTGGCACTCCATTTTTTTAAAATTAATTAAACATTACTGTTAAGTTGAACTCTTGTTATAAACTATAGAGAACACTTCGTCTTGTCAAAAAGAAGTGGGAACTCTAATCAGAATTCTTGAGAACTAAAGTTAGGGTGCTAACTTTACATGCTCAAACTTTTAAATAGACTGATCACACTGTTAGATATCAAAAGAGCAATCCAATCCTTTATCTCTCTAAATTCTTTAGTGAATCTTCTCCAAAGAATTCCGAGAGATGTTAAATAACATTTTGTTATTTTTACTTCCATATGTATCAAAATGTAAATCAATCCATTTCTGTGGTTAAGTTTAATGAATCAAAATCAAAATGTCCACAATGTGCATTTAGTAAATAATGAACTAAAATTTCAGTCAATTTAATTACGTTTTCTTGAGTTAAATATATTGCAATAGTTAAATTAGCGACATACTGAATAGAAGCAGTGGCGACCTAGAGAAATCATTTTTAAAAAAATGACACAAATTGGATGTCCGACATTATACGAATTTAATAGTACAGGACGTGTTAAATCCGTCTCAAATAATTTCTATATATGAAAAGAGTATATCACGGATAGATATACAATTTCGTACACAGAATCAGAAGCATGAAAGTCGTATTATACAAAATACACCTAAGTCTATGTGTACGCACGACAGCTTCCACAAACTTTTGCCGGTCACGAATCCACGCACGTGGCTCAGAAGAGCAGCGATTTGTTTTACGAGAAGTATACAGCGTGAATTATACCAATGCGTTATCATCTAGGTTCAGATACTTGCACTGCACTGCGCTATAAAACGTTGCGATGACACGTTGCTTTGCGATGGCAAACGTAAAAAAAAGATAAATGATTACCATTCTTTCAGATAAGAAAAGAATATTTTCACGAATATATAATTAGGAGATATAAGTCGCTACAAGGACGTAAGCTTTTTGTTGCGGACGCGCCGCATTACGTGACCTGTATGTTATAATTAATTGACCGCTTGTTAAATGATACGAAAAGGAAATTTGCCTAAGTGTGGAAGTTGAGACGTTTACTACAGAAACACGTAAGACATTGTGCTCGTGTTTCGCAATGTAATTCTACTAAAATAAGCAAGAGAGAGAGATGCAGTTAAATCTTATTAATTTTTTATGCAACAATCTTAAACTTTAATATTTTTTGCAATTATGTATAGATAGCTTCTTTTATTTCGGAATATAAAATAATTTCGAACTGTATTAACAGCAAGTAATTAAATTTTTCTGCAAATGTGAGAATACATCTCTCTCTCTCTCTCTCTCTCTCTCTCTCTCTCTCTCTCTCTCTTCCCCCCCTCCCCCGACAATTGCACACTTAATTTATGTTGACAAAAATTAATTATTATCTCATCATAAATTATTAGTCTTTATCGTTGCCAAATTTATGAATTACGTCAAAAGTTTATTAAAAAGACATTATAAATGATTGATTTAAGATTATTTCAGTTAATCTTTATTTTATCAGAAATAATAGGGGAAAGCAAAGAGAGTCATATTTTTCTTTCCGCTTAAAACGTTTTGAATAATTGAAACAATAAAAGAAAAGATATCTCTCGTTACTTGTTATGACAGGATGTTGCATAGAAAGGACGAGAATATATACATAATATCGCTATTGCTTGATACGCTCATTGCGGAATCGAGTGTTTTTATGTGTAGTGCAGTAATGTTATAAACGAGGCGAACGTTTTACCGTATCGGTACAGCTCAGCGTATAGCATTTCTAGGAAATACCTTCTTGATATAAATTTTAATACTTGAGAAATTGTTCACATTTTTCTCAAGACAAAATTCATATAAGCTAGCATTCTTCTGCAGAATTTGTTACGGTAGGATTAATTGTGAGTAAGCGATTAATTTAAAAAAAAATCAATCGCTATAAATAAAGAATTTAATTTTATCTTTAAAGTTAATAAATTGAATTTTAGCTTTCACCTGTCTTATCTATTAAGCAGATATATGGGTGTTAATCTCATTCTACAAAAAAAAAAATTTAAGAAAGAATAAATACTTATTTTTCAACGCATTGGTTGTGTTTATTTGATTAAATTAATTTAGTTATCTTTATTCTTTTCATTGGAAAATGTATATATTTAAGTTAAAATATAAAATGTTCGATTTAAATACATACTTTCTTTATCGAAAGATAAACTAAATTAATTTAATCAAATAAAGAATTTTTTTCTCAATATAGCAATTCCTATTATTTGATATTGATCATTATAAGTAGCTAATAGAAAGACAAGACTGATGTCATATTTACTTTCGAGTTTATAAAAAAAATTACGTTGCAGGATTTGCAAGAAACTCTTCTATCATGCCAAATCCTTAAGACACAACGAAATGTCTGTATTTATCTCTACCATTGTGCTTGAACCCTCCGCAGTTGACGATAAGTTTATTAAATCAATTCCTATCAATTCCTAATACTCTAATTTGCCTGTATATATGGTGACAAGATGTTTCACGAGAAGCAACTTACCAGGGCTGTCACTCAATTTATGTATTTAAAGGAATAAAAATAGGAATAATTTTATTCATTGTCTCAGACATTTTTTTTTCATCTCCTTTTTTTGAGCATATTTTCATTCATCTTTAGCCCCAAGTATTGAAATTGGACAACTATGGCCCCTTAAGGGCATTATTCCCTTTAATTTCCTTTCAATACCCCTCTAATAAATACAATTATTCTAGTTTCATCCGGATTAACTGTTACTTGAGCCTATCATGCTTTAATTAATAAAGATACAAAAGAAAGAAAAAAAAGATTATTAATAACAATCTTACTAAGAGGATATCTTTCACTTTCTTCAATTATTTGAATATATCAATTCTCCCTTCACTATAGCCGACTCTATTTACTTTTTTTATTGCTACCGGTTTCCATGGAATTCATGTTATTATTGGAACCTTGTTCCTCGTAAAATCACTCAATTATAAATCTGCTTATGAAAAATGTCAAACAATTCAATTTTCTTTATGATATATATTTCTAAATTTCTTATTAAAAAATTTAGACTGCCCCAATTCAGTGCAGAAAATCTATAGTGCACATAACGTAAACTACAGATTTTCAATGCTAGCAATGAAAATTTTGAAATACAGCTTTAACATTCATTTTTTTAATACAAATTGTCGTTTCTTGAAATTAATTGGTGTCACTTAAATTTTCATTAACATAAATGGGTTTTATAGGTCCAGCCTCAGCAATTGTTTGGCGTCAACTTCGAAAAAGTTAATATACGAGCTCGACAGAAAGCCGCGAAGAACCAGATAAAAGGCAACAATACTTACATTTTTGTATCCTCACCGGCAATATCTCACTGATACTTCAGTTGGAAAGTTGATTCAATCTACTCTATTGACCTTCGTTGCATCCCGAAGACGAGAGATACACAAATCACGCTCGTGATACTTGTCGCACATAACCTCGCAACGCCGCAAATCTGAAAAACTGTTGCGCCTCGTCCAGTCTTATCACTGCACTCGAACGTAAAAGATGCGCACGGTTTCACGTACACGACCAATCACGGATCGACGCAAATTATGACGAAACGACATTTAATAAATTACATACAGCGTAAAAAAATCTTAAACAACGCAACACTTAAATATCAGCTCAATCAGCTGATCCTAGCTGTTTCAGCGGCTGATCGCGTTCGGTACGCTGGCACCATCTATCGAGAAATGCCTGACACTAATTATATTTGCGAATATATTTTTCAATTTTCAAGATATCGCAATAATGGCTGCATTCAGCAGAAAGAGCAACTTTGCAACTGTTGTAAAATTCTTTAATATGATTGATCTTGCCCTTAGTTTCTCATTGAATCTAAATGTATAAATCAATCATATTAAAGAATGTTATAACAGTTGCAAAGCTGCTTTTTCTGCTGAACGCAACCATTCTATTCAAATATTTCATCTACAGGAATTAAATATTGTAACGCTCAAATGATATTACAAATTATTTTTTATAATTATAATGATCGCGTAGCATCAACAGGGATCTCGATAATAATTGAAAACTTGTAATTAGAAGCTTTTAATAAGCTTTTATAAAACATTGACATTATAGATAATAAAAAAAAATGTAGAAAACAATTCTGTTCTCAATCTATAATATATAATGAGATCAAATATATAAAAACTAAGTCACTATGTATATTATAAAGTAAAACAATATCAAACAGTCAATTTTCTCAGTCATCTTAGTCAAGAAAATTAATAGTTGTAATATTCTTATTTCAATTCTCCCTGTGCAAGTAACAATATTCTTACTATTTAGAAACATATATAAGGCTATGAGTTGTATACAAATAATAAACTTTCTTTTTATTATTTTATACATTGTGGTATCGATAAATTTATTAATGAATTTTTTACTATAAACATATTAATCTTTGGCATAACTTGATATTTATGATTTATTTATTCATCGCGCAAATATTCATTTTGATAATTTAAGACATTCATAAACCTTATTGCATCTAATTTGCATAGATAGGTCCATCATAAACGATGTGATATGGGTTTCTTTATCCTTTTGTTTTCCGTTTTCAAATACAATCACGAGAGTCATTGTGGGATCGGTGTTGTGGAAAGAGTATGTACACGAATCCTGTAGGAATATTAATAGAATTTATATGAAGTAATTCTTTAAATTATTTCAATTATTTGTCATTTATTTGGATTATTTATATTTTTTTATTTCTATTTTTATTTATAATGTTTAAAATTATTTTTAATGAACGTACCTTCATGCTTTTATGGCAAATCACTTTGTCCATAGTAAGAAGTTCGGCGTGCCGTTCTTTTATCTTGGTCTGGATATTATCCAAGTGTACTGATGGTTTCTGCGTGAATGTCTGAAAAACATTTAATTTTATAAAAAAGCATAGGATGTTGTGTACACTTTGTACTATTTATTTGTACAGATTAATATATATTTATATATATATTAATAAAACCTATTTACAAAATTCATTTATACTTACACTAGGACAACAAACAACAACGGGAAAACTCTCAGAAGAGTTTGCTCCTCTTGCTGGATGTCTGTATCCAGAACCTGAATTTTCAGTTTCTCTGGAGTCGAAGATTATCAGTACAGCTAGTATATCGTACTTTCGCTGAAAATTCTGTATCCTAAAATAGTATCTGTCAGCATATTATATACGAGTAACAAAACAATATGTATATATATATCTTACTTATGATAGTAATCTATACTCTGCTTGCTCATAATACTCCTCATTTCCCCTGGACTAGCTTGTTGGCTTAAAGTAGTGTGGAAATACAGAGAACACTTGGCTAATATGGCACTGCGGAGCTTCATCAGCCATTGGTATAGAGCTGGTTGTTGATTTGCCTTGAGAAATGTTGCACCAAAACCCAATTTCCAGGACTAAAAAAAATCTTGAGTTAGAATATTTAATAAAAATTAAATTTAAAAAAAGTCTTGAATTAAAATATTACTTTTATGCTTTTTTTATTTATATATTGCTAACCTCCTTGCTCTGCAAAGTTCTTTCCCAAGCCGACATTCGTGTTTGCGCTCCATAGAGTGCCATCAGAGTTGGTAAAAATCTCCAATTTTGAACTTCCACTTGTGCTTTCATTAATTGTACTAGTATTTCACATTCTAATCTGAACAATGAGGATTATTAGCTTCTCTCACATACATTAAAATTTATAATTTATATTACTAAAATCACATATTACTAATATTATAAGAGATACATACGTTAAACTTGTTTTGATAGCAGTTAATGCCAAATGAGAACAGGATAACAAATAGCATTTTACTATTCCTTCTATATACTGCAGCAATTCTTGATGCTTCATAACTTTGCTATTTACACTCATATTGTACATTTTTTCGTAGCTGTAATACAATAATCACAAATATGACACATTAGACAACAGAAGGTTGAAATACTAATATACTAACAAATCTATCAGCTGGATTCTTGCCGTGATGAATTGACAGAGCTGACTGGAAACATTTGCGACTGTCGTACCAATGGAATTTGTTCCCTTAGTCATTTCCTCTAATCTTTTTAAATCAGACTTCAGTGATTCATAGACAGTCTTTAAAGAATTCTGTAAAGAATAGTAAATTAAATAAATAATTATTGACTGAAGTACTTTCTTTGTTGTTAAATACGTACATCCTTCCTAAGAAAACCTTTATTTTTAGTGTTGAGGAAACCTAAATCCGCATATGAACGCTCCGCAACAGCTATCTGTGGTAAATGCATCAGGAGCATTCCCCATGGACCCATTTGCATCTGCTTACATGATTCCCTTTCTTTCTCCTGAATTAAATTTATATTTTTTTCAGACAGTAATGTACAACCGCATTTATATGTATTTAATCACATTAATACACATATAACAGGATTTGGTTCACTTACAACTGTTTCCTTAGCCTTATCGGAGCATAATTGAGCGACCTGTGTGAAGAAAGCGTTAAGAAACTCGTCCTCGTGATCCATCCTCTATTTTTGTTTGCAGCATATGCGAATAAACGGACCATGCGGCTGTTAATGCTGTCATACTGATTATGTTGTAGTAATGTTGTGCATGGATGCTTTCCATTTACATATACCTACATAAGTCCTGCATGATGAAGAAATCATGCAGTTGGACCAAAAGTGATATTCTATCTATGATGTAAAAAGATATAGTTCTTACATCATGATTCTATCTTTGTTACTTACTGAATGTCAAGAAAGATAAAAATGTTTGTATCGATTTATGTCACTAAATAGAAAGCACTTTAAAGGATTGACATTAGGGCTATTTTTTATTGCTGCAGTTTCCGAACTGATATCAGAGAGAAACCTGAGAGAGGCTATGCCGGTCTTTTTTCTGTTACCGTCGAAATCGCGTACACTACCGCCAATATATCCATTTTCAGTTTGGGAACTACGTGACTACATACATTTTCTGACACTATCGATAAAATCATATTGTCGAAAGTAAATGTGGTTCGTCTCTGTAATACATCCTCAGGACAGAAGCATGCCAACTATTCAGTATAGGAAAATTAGTTTAACGGATCCTTGAACGAAAAAATTTTAATTTCGCATCTGCTACATATATAAATAAAAATTGTTGAATTTTAATAAACGAAACTGAAAATTCAAACAATTTAGTGAATTTTGTTTTATATATAATATTTATCTTACATATCTTATAAAATTACAAAGTTATATATCTTTATGCAAATTTTCAGCCAGTATTTATCAAATATAATTATTAGTATAAGTCTCAATAATTACTAGCAATTATAGAGACTTTTAATAAATTCAATCTTTTCTAAACATATATTATCAATTTAAGATATAATTTAATATATATATATTTGACAATTTGATACTACATAAGAATATTAATTTTTAATTATAGTAAACAGTTAACTATTAATTTTTAATAAATTTATTTTTATTTAATTAAAAAATATAGATATTATTTATTACTATGTATAATATATCTAGTAGAAATATAAAGAAAATCTGCACTAGATGTGTGCGCGCGCGTGTGCGTGTGTGTGTGTACAAAGTTCTTTATATCATCTAAATTTACAAGTTCATGATTGCTCTTTTTATAGCCTTCTCCTTATTTCTTCTGATTTTCTTCTTATGTTCAATATTCTTAGTGGCGTCTCTGAAGAATTTTATTCCTTCTCGTTCCTCAAAAATGCGTTGCAAATACATCATACCATGCAAATTAAGGCCAATAGTATCCTGAAAACCAGTTAATCCGTCAGATAAAGAATAATCTTATAAGTAATACATGCAGTCAATAAATAAACTTTCATTACTCTTAAAGCAGAGATTTTTTCTACAGCGAGTTTCTTCACAATCTCCAACGTAGGCAAAAGATTTTGATTGGCCACTATCGGACCATGATGTGCTTGTACTAAGCAAAGAGCTAATCTGGCTAATAACTCAGTATGATAATTATTTTTTAACAAGTTAGGAAGTCTCTGAAGAATATCACAGGCAGCAGAAAATGGCAATAAGAATAATGTCTCTTCCAATTCACTAAAACATAAGATCTCTGTTACATTTCCTACTATGAAGTTTTATTGTTCTGATGTTTATTATTACTCCATTGCATTTTACCTTGCTCTAACTCGTTTAAAAATTTCCAATAAGAAGTCTTCCGTGTTCGTGCAATTGTAAGCCTGCATCAGCAGGGGAAGAGGTGGTGCTTTGTCAGTAGGAACAGCCTTACTCAATTCTGTCTCATATTGATTGGATATTTCCAAGCATTCCAGTATCAGTTCAGCCTGATGAAAAAAACATATTGTACAGAAGTATTTTAATACTTTCTATATTGTAAATTTATATATTTTTTAATAATTCCACTTACAGCCTTCTCACTGCTAACAGTCTTTTTAGAAGGTAATGTTTGTTGTTTCTGTCCTAATACTGCAGTACTTTCTCCAGTAATTAATTCATTTTCCTGTTGTTCTCTTTCTTCTTCTGCTACGTCTTGTAATACTAAAGGTTCGCGAGTCTTCTCATACAATCTAACTACTCCATCGGAACCGCATGATGCAACGTAAGCCCCGTTTGATGAAACGCAACAATTCCAACTTTCCCCAAAATGACCCTATAAAGATTATGAAAGTAATTAAGCTGCCGATACGCCAAATATTTAATAAAATACG